AAAAAAAAAAAAAAAAAAAAAAAAAAAAAAAAAAAAAAAAACTACTGAGTATTTTACCATTCACAAGCTTATTTATTATTTCTCTATTAATATGAATTGGAGGCAAAGTAAAGTAAAGGGGTGAATTATGCTATACAACAAGAGAGGATTGCCCCCCAAAAAGAAAAGCAGGAAAAGAAAGCAGCTATACAGAAACTTTACTACATGTATGAAAAGAACATGTACAGTGTGCAGTCAGTCCTGTTTTGACATGGTCTACTCTCATTCATCTATACGTTGTATCTCGCCCATCATGATCCGATTGCTGGTGACCTTGAAACCAAGAAGAGCTGGGTCGATTTGCCTACCTTTCTTCCCCCTTTTTTTGTTTTTTTGGGCCCCCCCAGCAGCTGAGGTCCCACCATCGGACAACTCAGGCAGAGGAGGCTTCTTCAGCATATCACTGAAGGACGTCACAGTCTCCATCGTATCTGTAGCTGTAGCATCATTACACGATGATGTCCGCCGGAACCCCACAACATCGTCCCTTCTTCCACCTACAAACCATCAAAATTTGTTAAGTGGAATGAACGAATGATAAAAATAAAAAATTCCAGAGATCCATCCAACCTACCCTCACCATTCACAACATTTTTTCCTCTGCCTGAAACAGCTGCATCACCATTCACCTCCGACAACCTTTCCTCAGAAGATACAGCTCTTGGACGTCTCATCAACACATTTTCTGCTCCTTTTGCATTCCAAGATTGCAACACATTTTCTGCTCCTTTTGCGTTCCTAGATCGCAACCTATTTACAAAAATTCTACAACTTCAATTCAAAATAGTATCAAGCAGCCAAATGTATGACTCAGAAGCAACAAATTCCAACGCATGATTTTCAAATTACCAGCAAGGCAATCCACAAACCGCACACAAAAAGGTGACGTTTTGTAAAATCCAATCTTCACTCGTGGAGAGAAAGAGAAAATTAATGCATATATCATCTCACTATCTGGCTTTTACAATACTTGTAATACACAACAGAGTTGCCCAAATCAAGGACCTTTCCTTTTCCATCACTACTATCCAAGAAATCAGTTCGTCCAATGTATAGGAGATGAGAGAATAATAATAAAGTAATAAGCACTGTCTAAACATCGGCCTAGGCAGCCGCCTCCGATTTGCATGAATCGACAGAAAATAAAAAAAAAAATTATAAGGTATTTAATATTAATTTCTAGGCCCCACCTAGGCGGTAGGCGTTGGCCGAGCGCCTAGCAACTTCTACAACACTGGTAACAATTAACAAAATGACCGGCCATGTTATCTCACCTATCCTTAGTAGCGTCCTCCAACAAGGACCCGCCTGCTCCAATCTTCTCATTGTGAAAACCTGATCATTGACCGAATGTGTTACTCGTTGAATGGAAGGCACAAGAACAAAGGAAAGAAAAGTTCAATATATAGGAGTAAAATAAAAACATCACCAGTGGAGCTAAGTGGCTTGTGAAGGGCAAGGGCATTAGCTGGTATTTCACCTTGGTCCATAGATATCAAGCCAGCATGCTCAACTACGCCTTCCTGAGCTTCTGAAATTGTTCCCTGAATTTTACCATCATTGATGAGAACTCTGTTTCTTTCTTCCACATTTGAGAGAGGTACTTCTTTGTCTGCCTTGCTATGCATGATAAAACTGTCATGGCTTACCTGAGAGCTTTCATCAATTTCGCGATCATTGGTTCTCCCCTCAGGTGGTCTATTCTGTGTTGGTCTGCCAGAATCAGACCGATAAGACCCAATGGTGAATGAGGCGTCAAAACCAGATTCTTGATCTGAAAGAACATTAAATGACTGGTTTGCCATGCTTGCCCCAGAATAATGGCTTGAAGATGGCCTCCTCGCATGCGCTATTCCGTTACTATCATCGAACTGTTCACTCGACGGGTGACCGGGCTTCTGGCGTAGTAGCTCCATCAGCAAGCGCTTAGAACTGTCGTCATTTGCTCCAGAGGACATCCAAAAACTAGAGTCTTCAGTACTCCATGTAGCATCCAATTCCCTCCTGTACTCCATTTGATCATTATTATTCTTAGGCCAATGACCCTCTGTTGTATCGCGCGAAACATGGAACTGACTTGGAACCAAAGGGTGGTTTGTATGCTGAGAATAAACACTGGATGAGAAACCACCACGTTGTAGCTGGGAAATCTGCTCTTGCATTTCTAAACCTTGAGGTCTAGCCATGGAGTTCACAAAATCACGATTCAATCCACCATCCACAGGCAACGACATAGAACGCTCGAAAGGTAACATGCTCTGGTCAAGAAGACCATGTTGAAGTCTATCTTGTACTGAATGATTCCTATCAAGATGACTGAGATGCTCCTCGGAAGATGGCATTTTCTGGGAATAAAAGTCCAAATGTCCAAACCCAGCAGATATAGCTCTATGAGAAGCAGGATTCCCATGGAACTGACCTGCTTCATCATGTGACCATCCAGGATTGATATTCCTTTCTTCTTCCATATCCAGTCGCTGTCTCAGCCCCACCGGTAACTGTTGCCTCCCATGCAGCTGATTTTGCTGAATAATCTGTTGATCGAGGGAGTGGACCTGACCATGCCTTCCACGAGATAAACACTCCAACAAATCATTGTGATGCTCTTCATGGAGCATTTGACCAAATTTTGCTTGAATTAGCTGTTCAACAGATGGATCCAAATGCCGAGGATATTGGGAAAGCGGCTGCAGCTCATTCAGGATTTGTTGATTCAGTATCACCTGCTCAAGAGCAGCACTGGATCTAAGAGCCTCAAGACGAGACTGCCCACGAACAGAGTCTCGCATTTGACTTTGCAGTAGCTGCTCAAGAAAAACTTGCCTGGCCTGAGACTGCTGTTGCTCTTTCAACAGCATTTGCTGTTGATGGAACTGCTGTTGCTGCAGTTGCTGCTGTTGAAGTTGCATCTGCCTCTGTTGTTGCAACTGAATGGCCAAAATGTGTTCCATATTTTGCCCTGATTGACTGGCCAGCTGCTTGTGGTGCATCAATTTCAGAATGGACCCCCCATCATACATCGCTTCATTCAAGTTTCTATTGTTGGATAACATCACGTTATGTGGCTGAAGATGCTGCTGCTGAAGTTGTTGCGGCAACAGCTTCTCTGCTAAATCATAATGGCTGTATTCTTGGTTCAATCTTGAAGGATGTCCAGCATCGTTAATGTCGTGGTACAAGTTGGAGTCTGAAAGTGCACTGCAGCTATAAGTATCACTCCATTCCTCAGGGGCATGATTTGGCTTACCCAAAGGAGCAAGGCTTCCAGAAACAGGGTTTACAAATTTATCCGGTCCGGCCCCGTTGCGTGTGGGTGTCTGATCATTGCTCGAGTATGTGCTCTCAAGCTCAGACCATAACAAACCAAGAGGATGCATCTCACTATCTTTTTTATTATAGCCACCAGAATCTGTCATTTCGTTATTAAGATAAGATTGGTTGCCACAATTTGTAGCAAGTTCACCATATTCTCTGGGCATCTTTTCTATGGCAGTGCTACCACTTCCAGGTCTTCCAGGAAACACAATTTCTGTTTGAAGAGTAATTTGAAGCAAACAATCAGAACTAAATTAATTCTCTAAATAGTAAAAGAAGTAGTTGCCAAAATAGCTACAAGCATACCTTCATCCAGCGGACCAAAATCATGAGAGTTTTCTCCCTGGGAGTACAAGTATTGTGATGGTTGACGTTGATTTTCACTTCCTCTGGGTTGAGCTTGCTGTGGAGGGTCAGCATCAAAATCAGACAACTGCCAGCCAGAGCCATTCATTACATTGGAAGGACCCCTTTCAAGAACAGGATCAGAATGTAATGTTTCCAGTGTAGCCTCCATCACTGCAGATTTCTCTATATTGGAACTTAAATCAGTTCCACTATCGTACTCATTTCGAAATGTCAAATGAGGCATCACATCTCCCAATTCTTGGAAAGGTGCCTGATCAGGGGCATCTTCCAAACGTACAGGTAAATCAGTCCCAAAAAATCCTTGCTCAAACCATGAAATGATGTCTACACCAAGAAAAGGACCCTGGATCTCTCCTTGCGGATCCCGATAATATAAACTTAGTTCCTCCGGGGGGATTCTTACATGCAGCTGATATTCATTTCTTCCACTACTTATCTTGGGTCGCTGACCATCGAAATGTTTCCCAGATGTAGGCACAGAGTTCCCATCACCCAGAAGATTATTATTAACATCAAATAACATGGCAGAATTGACACTGTCAAATAAGGTATCCTGCTTAACTGCAGAATTTGCTCCTTTGAGCTGAAAGGCATCAAATTGAGCACCATTAAAAGTGTGCAAGCTACTACCCAGTTCGTTTCCAATCATAGCCACCGGAGCCTCATATTTGTCTTCATGGCCAGCAGATTTCTCTACGATGCAGTTTAAAGATTTTTTCAGATTTTTCCAAAAATGAAAAACAACTATACAACACTTCAAATCAGCATTCACACGATTTAAATACCTTTTCTCGGTGAACTATGGTACAAGATGCTATCACCACATTCATGGATATCAACTGATGTTTTCTGAAAGTTATGCACCTCTTCACCGACATCAACTGAGAAGGATGCTTGCCTTCCCTCAAAAAATTCAATGTCCCCCAATTCTAGAAAAAAATGGAAAGAAAAAACAGTAACACAAGCAACAGACAACTAAAAACTCAATCTAGGTAATATGGAAGATGTTCTAAAGAGTGTCAAAGCTTAAATTACCTGAAACATTTTCCGTGGACCTGCTCTTCTTAAATGAACTGTATGATGCTCCACTGCTTGTTAATTTACCCTTCCATATGTCATTCAAGATGGCCTGTAACGAAGAGGAGCTCATCACACTTATACTAGTAGTATCCATGCATAATATTAATGTTCAAAGTAAATAACAAGCTCACCTTCTGCTCAGCATCAGGAGCAACAAAAGCTAAAGGCTCAACAGCCTCCAGTTGAGTTATAGGGGGTACTTTCTCAAAATTTTCAGGCATGTGGGAAAGAGAAGAATCCAGCTTTTGCTTACGATATACATCGAGAAGTTTTCCCCTAGGGTAAACAAATGTTCCAACAAGTAGGGCTGGTTTCCCCAGAACATTTCCAATCTTTTCATATTCAGGGTCACCAATCGGACCTGCAGACGTAGATCTTACGACAGAAACTCTTGACCTACCACGCCCTACAGCAAAGCCCACATTTGAGCCCTCGACTCGTCCCTTTTCATTTCCAAACCCTGGTGCAACACGGTAACCCGACCCGCCTGGATTTCCATCCATCCTGTGTCGCGGCCTCCACTTATCACGAGAATCTGAATCACGCTCAGGAACAGACCGATTACTCGAAACAAATGGTTGAGTTTCAGTCTGTGACTCTTCCTTCTCCATCTCCATTTTTCTCTCCAACCGAGTATCTTTTTCTTTGTCATCAGGACCCCACCTTAAAGACCATTTGCTGTCACGCTTAGTTTCATTCCCAGAATTGCGACCGCTAGCATCATGCCACCTTTCAGCAGCAGGCAAAGATCTATTGTCAGTGTGTTCTCTCGCTGGAGCATTGTCAACACGTCTCTCCATCTTCCTGCGATCCCTTCGACCAAGTAATCCAGTTTCCCTTTCTTCTTCACGCCAGCGGCGTACACCGTCAGTTTCAGGAGCAACTTTTCTCCAGTCCTTTCTTTCTTCAGTCGCATCAGAACGCCAAACCTCATTCTGGTTCACATCTGCAGAACTACCAAGAGAAAGAGAGCTTGGCCCTCGGGTTTCCTAACAAACATAAAATGTTCCCAATGATGGATCATGACATTAACAGAACACTCATGAAAGGAAAATTCAAATTCAAAAATTATAAAATGGACCAACAATTTCAATGGGTGTATACAAAATATATAGTCAGATATCAAATTGAAGACAAGACTGAAATATAGACCATTTATAGCAAGACCATGGAGATCATTTTAATTTAGTTCACACTGTACACAATAAAGATAAATAAGTGAAACGAGACTCTTTGAGCAGTCATATAGTTACTTGAGACCAATAATCAATACAGCATAGATTTCCAGCAAAGTCCATAATGCAGCAGGGCAGAGTGCCTAATGTTACTAACTTCAAATGTATTTATAGATGCAATTTTGAAAGCCTTCAAATCTAAAATATACATAACAAATCTTCAAAGCCCATGACAGGCATATAAAACCAGAGTACCAATCAAGGGTTTGAGATCTCAGAAATTCACAAATATTCGGTTTAAAATATAGAACACCGTGCATGGTTATGTTACGGTCATAATCAAGAGAGAAAATGTGACAGGATCAATGGTTCAGTTTACCAGTTTAGACTCATTTGGCTTAGCATACAGCCATTGCGGAGACAATGGAATGCTCTCACACACTGCTTGATCTGTGACAACGAACAAACTGAATAAGCAAAAGGAAAGCAGGGAAGAAAAATATCATGAGCAACACAACCGTACATACCATAAAATCTTAAAAGGCTTACTTACCCTTTGATTCATCCAGTAATCCAGACAATTCCCTGTCTTCATCATTTCCCAGTGAAGCTTCATTGAATAATATTATAAAAATAAATCAATACTAATGGAAAAAAAATATTAATCTCTGATGAAACTTAAACGAAGTTGAACTGGAAAATTCAACAGAGATTCAAAGCTAATAGAAACACTACGCATCTTCTGAATAGGTGCGGGGAAATTGAAATAGGAACTTAAAATTAAAGTTTAACGATTGATTTCCAATTAAAAACATTTAACCACCACCCAGTTTTTTGACAACATATTACAAAAAGGGAATAGTAAATTAAATTTTCATTAATCCCGAATTACTAAAAGCATTGAATTCAACAACGATTAAAATTATATTTTGAGTGAAGATCTTGGGACCAAATTAAAGGCATTAGATTAGTACAACAAAAGACAGGATCCAGCATACGATAGCCAGATCTAATCGAGCATAATAAACCAAAAATTTGACACGAAATCTATAACCACGATCTACCTTCCGGAGTCCACGATTTTTCGGGCAGCTTGGATGTAATGAGATCCTCCGGAAGGTCTAACTTACTTCCCGCCATTATAAGGAATAGATAACTCACACAATTTCACCAAACAATCAAAACCCTCAATGGAAATCACACCAACGCTAACAGTGAGTGAAATATAAAGACGTTGTGAGATGTAAATTGGCGATTAGCAATACAAATGATTCAGAACAAAAGATAGACGCAAACATAAACGAATGTGTAGGTGGAGCGAGGATTAGGGTTTGTGAGAGCACTTGACTTGAAAAATGCAGAGGCAAAATGCAGTGGGAGGAAAAAAAGAGAGGGTTTGGGTGGTCAGAACAACGATCAAATAATCGTTTAATTTTCTATTACGATTTTCCGGGTGTTGATTAGTGAAGGCTCGCCCGTTATTACCACGTACCGCTTTAGATCATTTTGTCCCTAGTATTTTTTTCAAAAACTCATAAAATCGTAAATCATCTACAACTCTAGATTTTTGGCTTGAACCACGACAAGATGTGAAAATACACCGACCGGTCGGCGATTGCTGCCGCGCGTGGTGAGGTCGGCCGACTTGGCCGGCATATCACATGGTCGGCCGCAATCGCCAGCTGGCCGACCGCCACCGCTCGCAGACGCAATCGCCGGTCGGCCGATGGCGGTCCCGGCCACGTGGTTTTTTTTTAGTGAAAATAGCTATTTTCACCCCGTTCTAAAGTCATACTAAGTTTTCCACACCACCCAATAAAAAGCTAAGTTTTTCACCCCAAAAAGTACGAAGACATATGCGATTAATTATGCGATAAATAGACGACAGGTATGAGCATGGGCGAGAAAATTATGAGTTAAAGTATGTGACTGTTCTACGATGAATATGCGGAGAATCGATGTACGATTCGGTCAATCGCGGTTCGTCGCCCATTAAATAATTATTCTTGTTAGGCGAATGAATCTGCGACTATTAGTCGAAAAAATTATTCGCGACACAACTGCGACATACCAACGTCGCATATTATTCGCAGAGTTGGTGCATAATAATTTATTTTTTGTCAGTTATTTCAGTTATGTGATGGTTTATGTGAATTTCCGCATATTAACCACCTTCGCACTTCTATTCTAAAGTTTATTTTTTATTTCTTTCATCTTTCAGTTATTTCAGTTATGCGAAGGGGTATGCGAATTTCCGCATATTGCTCGCATACCACATTCGCACTTCTACTCTAAAGTTTTTTTTTTTTTTTTTT